GCATTGCCAGTGTTATGGATATTGTCTTTTAATATTTCTTAGTTGAAKAGGTGAACACACTAYCTTTATTTATTTTTATGTGGTGCTGAGGATCAAACCCAGTACCTCACACAGTGCCAGGCGAGCGCTCTACCAAGGAGGTCCAACCCCAACCCCAAGTTTTGGATATTTTGTTTTGGGTTTTTCTATCCCATCAAGTCTAACAAAATATCATGTGTGTTTCCTGCTGTGTGGGGTAAGTGAATACACATATAACCATTGTTTTTTTCACTTTCAGTGTTCAGTAGATTACACAAGATATGCAACACACTTTATTATAAAACGCACTTARTGTTACATCATTTTGCCCAGGTGTAGGCTGGGCCAAAAAAAAWGTGTTCGGAGGAGGCGAGACTAAGCTATGATCTTGGATGGTTAAGTTCATTTACAACGCGACAGTTTACTGGTGTAACTTTCTAGTAAGTGGAGGAGCCTCTGCACTTAGCACACAGCCTCGTGCCATGTCTGCAATTGCTGCAGCTCACTGGAACTGTCTGAGCTATAGGAATCCCCCAGGAACTTTTTTAAAACTTCAATGCATCCCTCATCTTCCCCCCCACCCCCAAAGCCCTGGATTCAAATGCTCTGGAGTAGGTCCCCAAGTGCCGGCGTATTTATTTACAGGGCCTCAGCACCGCAATCAGCAACCACCTGCAAGCTTAGGTTGTCCCCACACTGGCGTCTGAGCTCGTTTTGAATGCATTCCACCTACTGTCACACTGGTGGACTCCACTCCGCAGGCCTCCCCTTTGGGTCGCACTTGACCTCGCTAAGCCTCAAAGATATGCAACAGATTTATTGCGTGTATGGAGGGAGAGGGGGAGATCAGCAGTGCTTTGGAAGGATTAGCGAAGCACGGTAGCAGTTTCCTGGCGTGCAGAGAGGCAAAGTCAGCTCTGGGGAACCCGGGAGAGCAGAAGCTGAAGCCGGTCACGCGTAGCCCAGCACGCAACCCTGTAGCCACGCCACGCCATCAGCTGGGGCCTGGACTAAAAAGGTCTCTCAGGTCCCAGGAGAGAGGGGGTATTGGGCGGTGGGCGGGGACGCAAAGCGGAAGCAAAAGAGTAACGAGGGAGCTGGGACGCTCGGTTGAGGCACCGCTGGGATTCGAACCCAGGATCTCCTGTTTACTAGACAGGCGCTTTAACCAACTAAGCCACGGCGCCGCCCGTGTAGGCAGCGCGAGAAACTATTCCCCATCTCTAGTCACGCCATGAGCCACGCGCGTGCGCAGAGGCTTTTTGATTTTTGAGTTTTAGGCGGCGAGGAGGCTGGATGCCGGCGCATGCGTGGCGTACCTGCTTGCTGGCCTCAGAGAATTCGAACTCCACACGGTGCGTGGGGCCTGGGCGGGCCTAGTTTCCCGGTGCCGGCAGCGTCTCCTCGACGGAAACCGGATACCTGCCTGTACCTTTATGGGGTCCTCGTTCAAGGTCTGCGCTTTTTGCTCGCCAGACGCGGCGCAGGGGAGCCCCTGAAGGCTCCGGAGAACCCACCAAACGACTGCGCCGCGGGGCTGCTGGGTCGGCCCTCGGGACACCCTGGGAACTCGGGCCCCACCAGCACCACGCCCTCAGCCGGAGCCGGCCGCCGTCCCTGCCAGCCCCCGGGGGCCCATAACTTCATTTGGGCCGCTTCTTCCTGAGTCAGGGTAGCATCACAGGGTACTCGGGGGACCCTGAGCTATCACAGCACCCAGATAGGGCAAGTAGGAGTCCTCTCACCCAGGCTCCCCTCTTGCTCCCCCGGGGACTCCGCCCTCAGGCATACCAGCTACTTGTCCCAGCACTTTTCAGAGGGCTTTTGGGTAACACAAAGGCGTGGAAGAGCCAGCCGCAGAACTGTTGAGTCTGTACAAAAATACGTGCACGGGAAGGCTCGCTCTAGTCTTTTTTGTAATACCAACCTAGGTGCCCATCAGTAGGGGCAGTGTTCATATATGCTCTCTAGCCGTCCTTCACAGCCACAGTGATGACTACATCTGCAGTGTCTTCACGTGTTGGAAGGCCTCAGAACTTCTGCAAGGAGGGAGGCCTCTTGCTGGGGAGGTGTAAGTGGAGTTTTGACACTTTCATACATAAGTCGTTGTAAATAAGTGAATAAATACTAAGCAGCCAACTTGAATCTAAGCAATAACCCCACCCCACCTCCCACCCTCGTGACTCACAGGGAAGGCACTAAACATGGGGCCTCCCTAAATGAATCTCAGATTATTGTGCTAATGCACAAAATCTTTGGATGCCAAACAATGGACACTGTAAATTAGTCCTGCAATCAAGTTTCTAAAATGGAGCACAGAACATATTAATGATATTGGGCAAAAATATCATGTGAAACTCACCAAGTGGAACAGGAGAATCTTCACATTTTTTAACTGAAAACTTCAGTCTTTCTGGATTGATCAATGTTCTACAATATGCAGTGGAAGCAGAAAGACTGCTGCACATATGCATGGGAATTCTGGAAATTCAAAAGTCTGGGGCAGAGAGCATGAAACATCCTGTGGTGGAAATACCACACCACCTCTTGCATGTTCAGACCTTCCTCTGCTCTAGGCAGATGGCCATCTGGGAGCATTAGCCAGTGTCTTAGTTGGTTTTGTGTTACTACAACAAAATACCTGAGTCTGGGTACTTTATAGAGAAAAAAGTATTTATTGAGCTCATGGTTCTAGAAGCATGGAAGTTCAAGATCATGCAGTGACATCTGATTAGTGCTTCATATGGTGTCATAACATGGCAGATGGCATCACATGACAGGAGCACATGTAAGAACAGCAAGTAGCACATGTAGAAGAAACCAAACACAGGGGTGGCCTAACTTTATAACAATCTGCTCTTGAGGTAGCAAATTCAGTCCCCTGATATCTAACCCACTCCCAAGAGGCAGTTATTGATACCTTCCCATGGTGTGTCCGCCATTGGGAACCAAGCGTCCAGGATATGAACTCTTAAGGAACAAATCATAGTCAAACCATATAAGCCACAATGCCTTGCCTCCTGACCCACAGAGGGGGACCCCCACACATCTTCATGTTCATTTGACAAACTCACCCTCGGGAAMTGCTGATACCAGTCCTAGAGGCCCAAGACTCCAGAATAGAGTCCATAACGCATCCCCAAAATGAGACAGAATGAACACCAGGACATGAAGCTTAGAAATAGCAAACTGCTTCTACAATTCATATGCACACTTGTTTTCCAAAGGAATCTAGATTTATTCTGCATGAAAACTGAAGTGTTCAACCCTCAAGGATGCTGTGGAGCTGAGGAGGTGGCCCTGCACTGAGAGCCCAGCCAGGGATTGGCCCCTGCCCCAGTCTGACAGGCCCACTCAGGTGGGGAGGGACCTTGAGAAGGATCCCTGTGGAGAGCCCCACAACCTGGGTAACAGGTGACCATGAYCAAGTCAATGAAAGGGCCCAGTGGCCTTCAGTCCTCCTTGTTCTCTGTTTCTGATGATGATGAAGCCACTGCTGGCAAGTCCATCACATCTCTCCGGCAGAAGATACATTTGGTGACTATTTCAAACGAGCTGTCACTTTCCAAGGTGGAGAATGGCCTGTCACATCCTTCGCACTGACATGAAATATTTTAAGAGCAGAAAGGAGGTGCTGGTCAGAAAAGATCAGGGCATTAAGTTGGAATCCTCCCCCCATCATCTGGCTACTTTGGACTGGCCTGAAGTAAGGGCTCCCCTCTCAGGAGCCTCTAACCTCACAGAGTAGAGTCCACCCTACTGAGTGAACCCACATGGGCTTCTGCTCCGTCCCCCAACCCCTCCTCCAAGCTAAGCAGATGCTGCCAGCTCATGTCCCCTCCTGTGAGGGCCCTGAGGGCAGGAGTGGCAAGCCCCTGGGCAGCAGGGATGACAGGGCAGGTGTCCAAGCCTGTCTGGTGCTCTGTGCAGAGCAGAATTGTGGGAAAAGGGGGATGTCCTACCTCCCTGACATGCTAGGGAACACCCAACTTTTACCAAACCACAAGAGGCAAGCAGACAAGACTGCTGAACAAAACAGGGATTTCGACTAGATTGACATAGGTGCTGARCACCCTCTTCTATCCTGAGCCTTTGTCTGACCAAAACATGTAGAATGGTGGACACAGATGGCACAGCTCACCACATCATCTGCAGCCTACTAAGAAGTGAGCAGTGCCAAGCAAGGGTGGGGGACTCTAAGGCCATGGCAGAGGCCAATCAGCCGTTCCCACCCCAGCACAGTCCCCTTGGGACAGGCCTGCACAGTGGCATTCCCCTGTCCTGGCACTCCAAGCCCCTGTGCTTTTGCCTCTTTTCCAGCACTCTGGCCAGCTGGAGGGACCCTGCCTGGGGCAGGCCTTTTGGGAAATCTGCCCTCTGAGGTTTCTCCTGTTGATTCAGAGCAAGTCAAGTGCAGTGGRTTCATCTTCACTAGGTCTCTTTCTTCTTTCTTTTGCAAGAAAGATGTTTGATCCTTTACCTACCTTCTTCRGCAGCTCCAGGTCTCATGGAACAGTCTCTGTAGGTCCAACCCCAAAACAACAAGGCTCCCAGAGGAGGAAGCTCCAGGGCAAGTTGGTAAGGGACAGAGACAATCAGTGCTTTGTGGCTAGTCAGCTTCCAGGGTCTAAGGACTAACATGGTCACAAAGGCCTTGAGGACTAGCTGGCCACAAAGACAAGGTCCATGTGGTCCCATCTCTCACCTCCCTTTGCAACACTGCTCACAGATTAGCACAGTCCCAGAAGCAGTACAAGGACTTTTTTTTTGTACTGGAATTGAACACAGGGTTGCTTTATATATATGAACTATATCCCCAGCCCTTTTAATTTTCTTTCTTTCTTTTTTTTTTTTTGAAACAGAGTTCACTAAATTGCTTAGGGTCCTGCTAAATTACTGAGGCTGGCCTTGAATTTGCAACCCTTCTGCCTCATCTTCCTGAATTGCTGGGATTATAGGTGTGTGCCACCCCGTCTGCCACCCATTCTGCCAGCCAGAACTTCCGAGGGCTTAGTGGTAGAGGGGCACATCTTCTGCCTCTGTGGCTGGACCTTGTGGAGCCTGGTGAAGCAAAACATGGGCCCACCCTACTATCAAGCACTTGCACTAGAGAAACATGGGCTTCTGAGCCTGTTGCATGGAAAACAGAGAACTGGGGGCCCAACCAGTTTCTGCAGCTGGAACATAGGAAGCTTACACAGTCCAGCTGTGTGTCCAGCCATTTCTCCACTGACCAGAACTCCCCCGGGCCCCATCTTCTCCAGGCCCTCTCATTCACTCCACTCCATCTGCCTCAGGGGCCCTGCACTGGCTGTCCCCACTGCTGGGAAATCCTTCCCCTAAATATCTGCCAAGCTCTCTCCTTTAACACCATCCAGTCTGCACATGTGTCTCCTTCTCAGAGACCCCCACCTTTTGAAATATTGCAACTCCAAGCACTCCCATTGTCCTTTCCTCTGTTATTTATCTTAGAATTATGGATCACCATGTGATTTACTGCATACTTTTCTTGTGTCTTTATACCTTGTCTCCTCTTTTAGAATTTAAGCTCCACAAGGCAAGAAATTCACTCTGTCCACAGTTATTCCCCAGTTGCCCAATACATGTTAGCTCAAAGAATAAATTAAACTGTTCAGGGTTAATAAACATCTTCACTGAGCTTAATTTTACCCAATACCTACCTGTTTCACTAGTGTCCCCATAGCCTTTTGGTTCTCAATTACCAAAGGAACTTGGTCGATCTTTTCAATATTCCATAGTCTCATGGTCCTATCCTAAAACAGGTTAAACAGTAAACCGGCTGTCACACAAAAAAAAAAAAAAAAAAAAGACTGTGGTACATCCTTACAATGGAATATCATTCAGTGGCCAAAAGAAACATGCTGTCAAGCCACAAAAAGACACAGAGAAAACTTAAATGCACATTACTAAGCCAAAGAAGCTATTCTGAAAAGGCTACAGACTACATAATTCCAATGATATGATATTCTTGGAAAGGGAAAACTATAGACAGTAAAAAGAGCAGCATTTTCAGGAGTTCTGGGGAAGAGGAGGAAAGATTTTTAGGGCAATAAAACCATTCCACATGCTACCCAGTAGTGGGTACATGGCATGCACTTGGCAAAACCCATAGACTGTACAACACAGAGTGAAACAATATAAACTATGAACTTTAATTAACAATTCCAGAAAGGAATGCAGTCTTTTTTTTTTTAGAGAGAGAGAGAGAGAGAATTTTTTTTTAATATTTTTTAGTTTTCAGCGGACACAACATCTTTGTTTGTATGTGGTGCTGAGGATTGAACCCAGGCCGCACGCATGCCAGGTGAGCGCACTACCGCTTAAGCCACATCCCCAGCCCATGGAATGCAGTCTTGTTGACACCTTGATTTTAGTCCAATGAAACTTCGTTGGACTTCTATCCTATGGAATGTTAAGACATTAAATTTGTGTTGTTTCATGTTTAAACAGTGCCATCTGTGGTAATTTTTTATTGCAGCAATTTAAAAAAAAAACTAATAAACTGAATAATGTTACAGTTCCTACAACAGTTGCAACTAAATGTCTTACAGAGAAACAATGGGAAGTTTAGGGAACAGGCATGTTGGCCCCTTGCAGTGCAGAGTTGTCAGATTTTACCAACAATCAGTTTCCGCATATCAAATGGTTTGTCAAATCAGGGCAAAAAAGAAAAAGAAATGTTCCCCATAGTTCCTAGATACTTTGATTCCAAAGTTGGAGTTTCAGATTCTCTCCTGGATTTCCATAAAGATTATTTTACTTTATTTTTTGGTATTGGGGATTGAACCCAGGGGTACTTACTACTTTACCATTGAACTACATCCCAGTCCTTTTTATTTTGAGGCAGGGTCTAAGTTGCAGAGGCTGGTTTCCAACTTGTGATCCCCCTGCCTCAACCTCCTGAGTCACTGGGATTATAGGGATTTGTCACAGTGCCTGAYTTTTATGAGTATGTTAATGAATCTGCAAAAAAAACACATTTTTTAAAAGCATGCTGATATTGGGCTGGGATTGTGGCTCAGCAGTAGAGCACTCGCCTGGCACGGGCGGGACCCGGGTTTGATTCTCAGYACCACATAAAAATAAAGGCATTGTGTTGTGTCCATCTTCACCTAAAAAATAAATATATTTATAAAAAAAATCAATCGGGATAAATAATAAAATATTTTAAAAAGAAAAAAAAAGCATGCTGATATTTATCTAAACACAAACTAGGCTTTACTCACTTATCTACATATTCAGCAGAAAGTGAAAATGTAAACTTTGGCAAACTCCGTTCATTCTATAAACTTTTAATGAAAGTAAATGAAAAGCTAAATGTCCAGCACACCTTGCATCACACATTCCTAAAAAGGCGTACAATTTATTTACCTATAATGTTGGGTCTTTCATAGTAAGAGTTTGGGGTACTTTTTACCTTCCTCAATCTGTATGAAATACTAAGTTGATTTCAGAAATGGAAGGAGACATCTCCTTTAAACATGTGCCTACCACTTGGCTATTATCATTTCTAGCTATCAAAAGAAGTTTAAGTGATGACTTGCTGCAAAAATCATATTTTTAAGGTATAGAAAAAGACGAATGTTACATAATTTTGAAATACATCAAGGATGATAACAGAGAAAAGAATAACCATAACACAAATTTATTTACTAGTTTTCTAAAACTATTTGATGATCTTTGAAGAGGCCATCATGAGTCAAAAAAAAAAAAAAAAGTGATTGCACCTGAGTTGTTCAATGTTAGTGCAGCTTATGGCAAAAATTATATGGTGTAAAGTTGCTTATTTTCTGAAAAATACTATAATTTCTTTGGAATCCAACTAATATATCACAAGTTCAAATCACCTCTGTGCTTTAAAACAATTTTTCCTGAGAAAGCAAGATCTAAATTATGATGTCATCCAATGTGCTTCAGAATGTTTAAAAATAATGGACATTTTACATGGGTGCAGTCTGCTGATGAAAATCTGAGGGCAAAGGATCTGGATGACAAATATCTGGTCTATTAAAACAAGCCTGTAAACTAAGTACCCTTGGATGTTTTTGGAGAGCTGAAAAGTAATTCCTACAAAGCTAAAAACCTGATGTTGCTAGTAAGAAATTTCTAAGTATTCCATGTACAAATCCTTTTGTTGGGAGAATATTTAGCTTTATGTTCTGGGCTGACCTAGGAATTGCTATCATGTGAACTTGATAAGAACAGAGCTGCAAGAATTTTGTTTGACAGGTTTCAGCTTCACCTTTTCATAAAAAGAAAAGTATGTCCTAACTGGGCACGGTGGTACATATCTATAATCCCAGTGATTTGGGAGGCTGAGGCAGAAGGATTGCAATTTTATGACCAGACTCAGCAATTTAACAAGGTCCTAAGCAACTTAGGGTAGAATGTCCCTGGGTTCAACCAGAAGGAGGAGGAGAAGGAGGCAGAGGGTGAGGAAAAGGAGGAGGAGGACCTGAAGAATCAGGCAGTTCAAAAAAGTATGAAAAAAGAAAAGTAAAAAATATCTTGCTATATTATGGTCAAAAAGAAATATGTCATTGTTAGGTTTATTATGGTAAAACATATAAAACATTATCATTTCAGTCATTCATAATCATACAGTTCAGTGACATTTAAATACATTCAACACATTGTGTTACTATCACCACTATGATCTCAGGTTTTTTTATCATTCCCAATAGAAACTCCACTATCAATAATAACTTCCCTTCACCACTCCCTCCAGCCCAGGCAAACACCATTCTACCTGTCTTTATGAATGTAACAATTCTATGTCCCTCGTGTAGATGCATTCATACAGTATCTATCCTTTGCAACTGGCTTAGTTCATTTAGCATAATGTCTTCAAGGTCCATCAAGGTTGTAGTATGTCAGAACTTCCTTCCTTTAATGGTCAAATAATATTCTATTTTATGTATATGTCACATTTTGCTCATCCATCATTCATTCATTGGTGGACACTTCCTTCTATCTTTTAGCTACAGTCAATAATGCAGCTATGAACATGGGTATACAAGTATCTTCTTGAGTCCCTGCTTTCATTCTTTTGGGTATATACCCTGCAGTGGAATCGACAGGTCCTGTGGTAGTTTAGTTCTACATCTGACCTTTTGAGAAACTGCCAAACTGTTTTCCATGGCAGCGACACTACTTTACATTCCCACTGGCAAATGCACAAGGGTTCCAGTTTCTCCACATGCTTTCCAACACTCCACATGCTGTCCACTGTGGTTTTGACTTAGATTTCCCTAAGGACCACTGATGTTGAGCACCTTTTCATGTGCTTATTGGTCAGCAGTTTAATCTTCTTTGAAGGAATGTCTATTCCAGTCCTCTGCCTATTTTTGGATTGTGTTTTTAGTTGTTGCTGGGCTTTAGAAGTTCTTTATATACTATGGACATGAATCCTTAAGAGATACATGATTGGAAAATATTATCTCACTCTGTAGGTTGTTTTTTTTTCTGTCTTGATAGTATCTATTGACATAAAAATTCTTTGATAAAGTCCAACATATTTGTGTGTGTGTGGCTCTTGTTCTTATGTTYGTGAAACTGTTGCCAAACTCAGTATCATGAAGATTTTCTCGAATGTTTTCTTTTAAGAGTTTTGTAGTTTTAGTTCTCAAGTTTAATTCATTTTGAGTTAATTTTTATACAGTTGTCCCTTCGTATCCACAGGGCATAGGTTCCAAGATTCCCCAAGAATACCAAAATCCATTGTTAACTGAATCCATGGATATAGAACTCAGGAAAATAGAGAGATGCCTGTATATGGTATAAGGTACAGGTTCAATTTCATTATTTGAATGAGGATATCCAGTTTTCCTAGCACCATGTTATTTACTAGTTTTCTAAAACTATTTGATGATCTTTGAAGAGGCCATCATGAGTCAAAAAAAAAAAAAGTGATTGCACCATGTTGAAAAGACTGCTTTTTCTCCCAAAATCAATTGAACAAATAAGTTAGGGTTTATTTCTTGATTTGCTATTCTATTCTATCTATCTATATGCCTGTCCTAAGCCAGTACCATATATTTTTGTTTGTTTATTTTGGTACTAGGGATTGAACCCAGGGGCACTTAACCACTGAGTCACATCCCCAGCCCTTTATAATTTTTTTTTTTTTAATTTTAAGACAGGGTCTTGCTAAGTTGCTTTGGCCCTTGCTAAATTGCTAAGGTTGACTTGCAATCCTCCTGCCCCAGCCTCCAAAGCAGTTGGGATTATAAGCATGCACCACTGCACACAGCTCAGTACCACAAATTTTTAAAAATACTTTTTTAGTTGTCAATGGATTTTATTTTATTTATTTATATGTGATGCTGAGTATGGAACCCAGTTCCTCACACATGCTAGGCAAGTGTTCTACCACTGAGCCACAACCCCAGCCCAGTACCATACTTTTAATTATTGTAAATCTGTGGTTAATACTGAAGTCAAAGAAGAGTGAGTCGTGTACCTTTTTCCTCTTTTTTTCCTCCACCTCCTCCTTCTTCATTCCCTAGGACCCTTCAACTCCTTAAGAACTTGAAGATTGGCTTTGCCATTTTTGTGAAAACAGCTGTTAGAACTTTGATAGGGGTTGTTTGGGATCTATAAATCACTTTGGGGACTGACTTCTTAAAAATGGGAAGTCTTCCTATTTATGAATGTAGGATGTCTTTCCATTTATTTAGGTCTTCCTTAATTTGTTTCAGCTTTCTGAGGCCTTTTTAAAATCATAGATGGGTTTTGGATTTTACAAATGCCTTTTCTGTGTCAATTGAGATGATCAGGTGTGGTTTCCCCCCTTGTTCTATTAATGTTGTATATTATATTATATTAATTGTATTTAATTAAATTTATATTGAAGTACCGTTGTATTCCTAGGAATGGTAAATAATGGTTTTATTTGCTAATATTTTGCTTCTGTTTTCATAAGGGATATTGATCTGTAATTTTCCTGTGATATATTTATCTTGTTTTAGTATCAAAGTAATGCTGGCCTCGTAGAATTTAGTTTTATATTAGTATCTGTTTAATCAGTTTAGTTACATTTATGTTCTCTTTTTTCAAAAGTCTTACATCTTACATCTATATCTTTTAAAATATACAATAATATAGTCTACAAATATAGCTGTAATTTTCTCTTCTTGTGATATTTTCATTGGACTTTGGTATCAGAATAATGTTGGCTTCACAGAATGAGGTCTTTTTTTAATATTAAAAGTAAGTAGTATCTGTTCAACTAGTGCTGTTGTATTTAAGTTCTCTTTTTAAAATAATGATATAGGGGCTGAGGATGTGGCTCAAGCGGTAGCACGCTCGCCTGTCATGCGTGCGGCCCGGGTTCGATCCTCAGCACCACATACAAACAAAGATGTTGCTTCTGTCGAAAATTAAATAAATAAATATTTAAAAAAAAATAAAATAAAATAATGATATATCTATGTATTTTAAGAATATATATTGCCAGGTATGGTGTTGCATGCCTGTAATCCCAGCAGCTCTGGAGGCTGAATCAGGACAATTTTAAGTTCAAAGCCAGCCTCAGCAAAAGTGAGGCTCTAAGCAACTCAGTGAGACCTCGTCTCTAAATAAAATACAAAATAAGGCTGGGGATATGACTCAGTAGTTAAGTGCCCCTGAGTTCAATCCCCATTACTCAAAAATAAATAAATAAATATTATAAATATTATATATATATAAATAAATATTTATAAATAATAAAATGGGCTAGGAATGTGGCTCAGTGGTTAAGAGCCCCTGATTAAATACAGTATCAAAAATTAATTAATTTAATTAATAAAAAATAAAATGGGCTGGGAATGTGGCTCAGTAGTTAAGTGCCACTGGGTTTAATCCTTGGTACAAAAAAAATTTACACAAACACATATATTATTATATATATTATACATATATTATTACATATGTATAATATATACAATATATTATTATAAATATATATAACATATATTATACATATATTATATATATATATTAATATATCCACAAATTTTAAATATCCAATAAAGATTTTTTTTAAATCACAGTAAATTGCTCTTCCTGGGGATAGGAGGAAACATTATAAAATATTTTTATATTTTTAAGCATATTTGTTTAATTAGCCCTACTGTTAATTACTACTAGTTGCCATTATTAACTAATCCTGTTGTTATAACAGAAAAGTTAAAAAATAATAATAATACAAAATAAAAATTTTAAGTAAACACTCAGTTTTTTCTATCTTTATATTAATGTAATAACATAATGACATACTTTGTTTGTTTGTTTGTTTGTTTTGGGTATCAGGGATTGAACTCAGGGGCACTTAACCACTGAGCCATATCCCCAGCCCTATTTTGTATTTTATTTAGAGACAGGGTCTCATGAGTTGCTAAGCACCTCACTTTTGCTGAGGCTGGCTTTGAACTTGCGAACCTCCTATCTCCCTGTCTCACTGGGATTACAGACGTGTGCCAAAGAACCCACCAGCATATAATTTTTTTTTTTTTTTTAGTTGTAGATGGACACAATGCCTTTATTTATTTATTTATTTTTATGTGGTACTGAGGACTGAACCCAGTACTTCACATGTGCTAGTCAAGTGCTCTACCACTGAGCCACAACCCCAGCCCCTATAATTTTTATTACATATTGTATCATTATATGCTTTTAATCTGGAGTGTCTGTAGCCAAGGTTGACTCTCTAAAATGTTGGTAATGTTAGGCAGAGTCTTCCTCATAGTTTCATAGACCTAGAGATTTCTAGCACAGAGAATTCTTGGATAAAGGTTGAGGGCCCTAACTCCTCTATAATCCCACGGGGAGGACAGCCCTTGGGATATCCAGAACCAGCTGTGATGTGCCAATGGAATGGGAATCGCAAGATGCAGTAATGTAGATAGAAGAGAGGGAAGACCCACCTGCTTGTCCATGAGCTGTTGCTGCCCTCCAAGGCCCTTGCTGTCTTCATCACTCACCAGCAACACTCAACACTTCATCACTTTCTCCAACAACAATCAAATGTCAATGACACAGACACAGAAATACCTGGAAAGTCTCCACATTTGCAGATGGTAGGACTTACTTTCCACATTCCCAGGCTACTCCTGGAAGCAGACATCAGACTGAGCCTGCCCAGGAATTTTATACTTGGGAATAGCACTCCTGCTGTCACCAATTCTCATAAATATGGTAGGCATTTTAAGTCACTCAAAGCTTGGCCACTTTTACCTTTGAAGCAGATAGGATCCATTTCTTGTTGTTGCTGATAGCAACATCCATTACCCAGTCCTCATGGCCCTGAAGAAAAATAAAATTTTACCAAGGACCTAGGAAAAATGCCCTTATAAGAACAATAAAAACAAACCCAGGAACCCAATGTTGGTTATGTTTAAGAGTAACTAATGTACTTCCCTGGTTTCATCAACATTCAAGGTGGAACACAAACTATAAAGACATGTGATATGTAAGTATATCATGGCACTGTATATGTTTTTTAAAAGTAGTTCTATAGTGTTTAGCAGGATGGAAGAAATGAAAGGTTGGATACCCATCCAGTCCTGGGTTTTTGTTTGCATTCTTTGTTCTAGGAGACACTACTTGGAGCTTTTGGCTGTAAGAAACTACAATCTGATTCACTGCAGCTTTAGCAAATGGTCGGTTGTTTTCCCCTGGTAAAAAAAGGAGCTCGGAGAGATAGATGCCACTGCTTCATGATGTTGGGATTCTGTGTCAGCACCTTTATTACACTTGGGCCTTTCTTTTATGGAAAGAGGTAAAAGTTGAGGCAATAGGGCATAGTAGGAGGCAAAGGAACAGGAAAAGTTAAACTGTTGTGTATAACAGGGTTAAGGAATAGCAAGAGAGAAGAGAGAGACTAGAACAACCTGATAGTGTACAAAATGATTTTTAAGCATTCAATTTTATGCTATTTATTTGTTGTAAATGTAAACTCCCTCTGCCTCCCAAAACCCGAGGAGGAGAGAGCTCAGAAAGACCAGCCCCAGAAGCCTGGACATGTGCTGCTCAAGGTGGCACAGTATACATTGAGTTTCCGGGGACACAGAGATGAAGAATCATTGGTGCAAGCATCCACAACCAAAGGTGACTATGAGATTGTGAGATCAGGGATTATGCAGAAACCACGGGGCATGGGACCTCTGGAACAGGGGCACAGAATGAACCAATCCTGGATTCTTGCTGTGTCGGATGACATATACCTAATTACAAAGCCATTTTGAGTTGGGCCTCCCCTAACTTTCAGCCAAAAATATTCAGTAAATGTTCCTCATTAGCTTTAAATGCATGCCTCATTATGGAATTCATCCCTCTGCATAGTAACTTCTATTGTTCTTAGAAACTTTCCAATCTCTTGGGTTTATATTTACTCTTCCATCTGCCTAGAATGTCCTTCCTCAATATCCTTATTTACCCAGACCCTCCATGCCACACAATTCTCTGATCAAGTATCTCCTCTGGGACATTCTCCCTGCTAAGCCACTGATGGTTAAACCCCAGAGTCTGTTTCTATCACGTCACCTTGTTGTGGTTTCCCCATTCCATTCATTACTGTTGGTGATTCTCTTGGTGGTTTCTTGTCTGTTCTCTGTTCTTCCCCACAGATGGGTCAGCTCCATTTGGAGGCACCTAAGTCTGTCTCACTGCTGTAGCCCCAGCCTCTGGCACCCAGCATGGAATGACTAAGGAATGAAGCTCACAGTCTCTCTCTAATGCTGGCACTTGTACCTTCAAGGATAGCTTCCGGTAGCCTTCTCCTACATCCCAAATAGCCACAGACTTGTCGAAGCCTCCAGAAATGAGAAAAGAGTCTGCAACACAAAACGAGAGTTTGGGTGGGGGATCATCTTCCCTAGCCAAGTGTGTCCTCCTCTGATGAGGCCAAAGCAGGCTGAGAATGCATTTGTTAGGCACCACCATGGTTCACTCTGATGACAATAAAACCCCCTCCTGGTGTGGCTTAATGATCTCCAGCCAATTACAATTAGAGTCAACTCTTTTTTTTTTTTTTTTGTACCAGGAATTGAACTCAGGGGCACTCAACCTCTGAGCCACATGCCAAGCCCTATTTTGTATTATATTTAGAGACAGGGCCATTGTTGGGCTGGCTTTGAACTCACGATCCTCCTGCCTCAGCCTCCAGGGCCACTGGGATTACAGGCTTGCCCCACTGTACCCGGCTACAGCAAACTCTTRTTATTCTCTACAGCTACATTTTATGAAGTTATTACAAACACTGAATTAGCAAATATTGAACCATTGCTCCTAGAGGAAATACAGGGTTGGGATCCTACAAGCCTCTGGTCACAATATTTTCATCAATCAATCAATGCATAACTTTATTTAAGAGCTTTCTGTTTGAAGACACACACACACACACACACACACACACACACACACACACACATATGGTTGGCTGATTAACATTGAACTCACAGCCAACCGAACTTTAACTCATGCCTAATGAAGCATATATAACACTTTTTCTGTATAAGATACATTCTTGCAGGTAGGAACATGAGGAAACACTTCAGTACTGAGCTTGGGAGGCATTTTAAACATCAAAATTACTTGCAAAAGACACCAAAAGGCCAAAAAAAAAAAATGACACTCAATAGGCCATAAAAGGACACTGTACTATGAGAGCTACACCAAGGAGTCAGAACATCACATTGTTCATGTTCAAATTTCTCACTGCTCTGCACATGTCTGAGTGACCTCAAAAGGGTATTGATTTTAGGGTCACATATAAACTTTAGTGACTAGGTAAATTTGAAAATAACAGAATCTGAAATAATAACAATTTAATGTATGTGATTCTGAACTTAATAAACCAAGGACAGAGCTGGTGGGGCACCTCCTACTAGGAGTCTGACTTAAGACACAGGATGCTTCCTAGAATTTCCCAAGCCAGACCCAGATTGTGTATACACTGGCTGGACCCCTTGCCAGCCCCACAGACACACAGAGCAAGCCCACTTCTTATTAGGATTGAGGAGTACACATTTGGCTCCTGGTTCTAGCCCCAGTTGTACTTTCCTCACCCATGGCAGCTTCCTGTCATTGTCCTGGTTCATGTTCTTGTCCCCTCACCTGACAGCAGCTCCCCAGGTTCTTATGGGAAAACACCCCTCACCAACTCTCAGTCTTTAGTTTCGAGAGTATAACCCCTAGCTCTGGGGATAGACAAGTCCCCCAGATCTGGTCAATCACAGTCTTTCATCTCCTGATAAATGACTGGTTCAGAGATGGGCGTGTATCCCAAGCTGAGCTAATGGGAGTCTTCCTTAGGATTTGTGCTGACACCAAGAGAGAAAGAGAGGGTCTCTCTTCCTCCAGGATTGCCAGTGGCCAGAGCAGTTTAGCCTGGACTACTAGAGGTCCTCGTGGCTTCCTGGAGAGAAAAGACCAATACAAGAGGGAAACAGAGTTGAGAGACAGTGGAGGTACTAGATTCCTAACAGTATTGTTTGAGTCTCTGAACCCAGCCATGCCTGAAGTCAGACCTCCTYCTTGACTTTTCATTACAGGAGTTGGTAAGCTTCTTCTGTTGTCTGGGCCACCTTGGGCTGAATTTCTGGCATTTATTAACTTGGGCCTATGAATGTTTTTTTCCTCATGAGGAGGGGGGAAAAACTCCACCATCACTGCTAGAATCATTAGAAATCACTTCTCTGGCTGGGTACTGTGAAGCATGGCTGTAATCCCAGCGGCTCAGAAGCCTGAGGCAGGAGGATCTCAAGTTCAAGAGCAGCCTCAGCAGCATAGTGAGATCCTAAGCAACTCAGCAAAACCCTGTCTCAAAAAGGGGTGGTGGTGGGGGGGTGGCTGGGGATATGACTCAGTGGTTAAGTGACCCTGAGCTCAACAACAAAAAAARGGAAATCAGTTCTCTTTCTGTATTTAGGAAAGTCCACATGAGTGGAACGTGAAGAATTTTGCCCAGCACACAGAACAGAGTCCTCTATGTGTTAATTACTCACTGTCTCTGGCAAAGCAGCAGGAGCTCACACAACCTTCGTGGCCCTGCATTAGAGTCACACAGGCTCCACGGTTTCGAAACTCCCCTGTATGGACATTCCATATTTTTAATGTTTTATCCCAGGAGCTGGAACACAGGAAGTGGCCACTGAAGGTAAAACAGCAGTTGGAGATTGCATTTTCATGTGCCCTGAAACAGATGAGGCAAATGTTTGCTCTGGGAGGACCTGAAAACATACCTAAAGGGGGAGGGGACATTGGAGGGGACACCATCATTCATCTCCTGAGCAAATGGAGGTCATTCCTTTAATCACTGTCTTCTCAGACTGTGTCACCCTACTCTAAGGCTATTTAACCATGCTAATATGAACATTTTGTGCTGGATAATTCTTTGTTGTAGAGGCCTATCCTATGTATTATAGGGTGTTTAGCAACATCTCTGGCCTCTCTACCCACTAGATGCCAGTTGTTCCCTGTTGGGGTAAATACTAGTCAGTGTCTGAGAAAGTTTTTTGCTCAGCTTATTTTTTTATTTTTTATTTTTTTTCATTTTCTATCTTTTTTTAAAATTTTTCTTTTATTTTTATTTTTTTATTTTCTGCTCTGCTTATTTTTAAAATGGACATGTTTCTTGCTCTTCCTTTCTTCCTGCTCTTCCCTAATCTCTATCCCTCCCTAATCTCAGGGGAAACAGGATTACCTCTGTTCCCCATCCTAGGCAGAGTTATCGGTCCCTGAGTACACACCCACCACAGAATGAAGTAATGCAGACTTTGGGGATGGTACCTGAAGGTCTCAGAAATGACTTTTCCCAAATTAACAAGTGAATTACAACTCCAACAGAGAACACAAGGAATGAACCCTTTGAATCACCTCTTTAAACGCCCCCTTTGGGACAGGAGTCCCCAGTGTTTTTCCTTTGCTAGCACAGCAATAAACCTTCTTTTTCCTTTTCCTAAATAAAACAACACAAAAATTTTGTTATTCAGCAGTGAAATAAGGACTCTAAAGAATGTGACAATGAAGAAGATGGAGCCGGGAAGCTGTCTCTTATCTTCAGGTGTGGATCAAAGTAGAGTGACCTTGGTGTAAAGGGAAAGAATGTGCTTGTAAAACATCTGAAGAACCCCACCTGTGCAGTGGCAGCGTCCTATCCCATAAATTCCCTCTGGTGGAGGCAGGGTGTGACCCTCCTTTGTAACCCAGCCTTTCACTGCCAGGAGTGAGTGAGTAATAAAATGTCAAAACCCTCTCCCTGAGTCTTCCAAGTTCTTTCTTTGGGATTGGAAAACAGAATACCAAGGCCTTTGCAGCCCTGGGGTTGCACCCCTTTATAACAGCCCAAAGCATGTCCAAACATTGCCAATGTCCACTGAGGAACAAAACTGCCCCCAGTTGAGAAGCACTGGAATATTCAAGAGCTTCATATGGTTTGAGAAAAAAAAAGCTGGAAAGTCATCAGTAGTGGGACTGAATTCACAAAGAGGTCTTCTCCCACCTACTCCCGCTGCTTCTTCTCCCTGGTATCCAGCCTTGGCTCCTTCTCCTCCATCCCACCTCATCTCCCCCGTCCCACTCCTCTCCTATTTACTCTCCCCTTTTTTTCTTTCTCTTATCAGTCTTCAGTGCCATTAAATCATTTTATTTTTTTATTTCTTTTAAAGAGAGAGGAAGAGAGAGAGAGAGAGAGAGAGAGAGAACTTTAATATTTATTTTTTTAGTTTTTGGCAGAGACACAACATCTTTGTTGGTATGTGGTGTTGAGGATCGAACCTGGGCCGCACTCATGCCAGGCGAGCACGCTACCGCTTGAGCCACATCCCCAGCCCAAAATCATTTTAATTTTGTATATTTAATAAAGTTTTGAGTCATTCATTCTCTTCTCTTCTCTTCTCTTCTCTTCTCTTCTCTTCTCTTCTCTTCTCTTCTCTCTTCTCTCTCTCTCTCTCTCTCTCTCTCTCTCTCTCTTTTTAAGGTAACAGGGCTTATTGAACCCAGGAGTACTTAACCTCTGAGCCAAATCCCCAGCCCTTTTTAAATTTTTTATTTTTGAGACAGGACCTTCTTAAGTTGCTGGGGCTGGCTTTGAACTTGCAATCCTCCTGCCTCAGCCTCCCAAATTCCTAGGATTAGAGGCGTGCACCACCACTCGTGGCTTGTTGCCAACTTTATTTATTTATTTGTTTTTTAAAGAGAGAGTGAGAGAGGGAGGGAGAGAGAGAGAATTTTAATATTTATTTTTTAGTTTTCAGCGGACACAACATCTTTGTTTGTATGTGGTGCTGAGGATCGAACCCGGGCCACATGCATGCCAGGCGAGCACGCTACCACYTGAGCCACATCTCCAGCCCCTTGTTGCCAACTTTAAATGTCTTCTTTTCTTAAAAGAAAAAATACCTGTCAGAATTTGATTACCTTCTGTTTAGTTTGTGGTCCTCAAAGTATTTTCCCTATGACTCTCATTTTCTCTTAGAAACAGTTTTCAATTGGACCTTAAAAGAGTTTACCTCTGGGGCTGAGGTTGTGCTCAGTGGTAAAGTGCTTGCCTCACATGTGTGAGGCACTGGGTTCAATCCTCAACACCACATAAAAATAAATAAAGATACTGTGTGTTCATCTACAACTAAAAAAAAAATTTTTTTTAAAAAGTGTGTATCTCTGAGCAGCTAGGATCATAAAAATCAATCATTTCACCTGAAGAAAGAGTTGAACTAACTGTTTTCTACAGCTCAGGCCAAGTTTCATGCCCTGTTTCAGGTCATTGCAATGTGCACACTGAGCAAGTTCACAAGAGAAGAAATGTCAACTCCCCAGGAGTGTCCAGGGTAAACCTCTCCAAAACCCATGGCCTGATGGGCTAAAAACCATCCTAGCATATACCAAGGTAGACAACAGGCACTTTCCAGAATGCTGACACTCACTGGGGTGTAAACCAGGACTATTCTCCAGGATGGATTCTAATTTCAAATAAATTTCAATACTCACTAAAGACTGTTTTACTTGTACGAAAGTTTGGGGAAAGTACTAATGTTGCACTTATAGTTCCAGACAAGACAGGAGTCTTGTTCTCCCTAAAAAGCCTGTTCTCCGTTCTCCCTACTCATCCCGCTAAGTACATCTAATAACCCTGGATAGTATTTATAAAATAGATGCTAAAACTACAGAAGCTGGGTGCAGTGGTGCATAACTGCAACCCCAGCTACTTGGGAGGCTGAAGCAGGAGGATTGCAAATTTGAGGTCAACCTGGGCAATTTAGTTCCACCTGTCTCAAAATAAAAAAATAAAAAGGGCTAGGGATGTAGCTTAGTGGTAGAGCAGCCCTGGCCTCCATCCCCAGTACCACATACAAATAATAAGTAAATAAAAATTAAAAATTAAAAGGGCTGGGACTATAGTTCTGTAGCTCAGAGTTCTAATGCCCCTGGGTTCAATCTCCAGCAAGAACGGGGGACAGTTGTTGGGGCAGGGAGAAGAAGAAGAGTATAGAAGACAGACAAAAGAGACAGACCAGCTAAGTATCTTGGGCCCTAAGGACAGGATGCTATGAGTATTTTGGGATTTCTTTTTGTGTCACATATCCTGGACTAGGTGCTGGGAAACAACAACAACAACAATGTATGAAGCCTGTTTTCCCTGACCAAAGGGCCAAGAAGGGACAGACTAGCAAGACAGAAAACTTACGATAGTGACTGCCCCACTTCAGCCAAACAACTCAGGAAAATCTGCAGCCCCACCTGACTCATGTCAGCAAAAGCTAAATTGGGAGCCAAGATTGCCATCCTGTTAGGCTGTAACAAGGTGATGTGCTCAAACACAAGGTTTCAATCATACTCCAAGTCTCATAATACCCCAAACATCCAGAATTCAAATGAAAATCCTTCATCTTATGGGAGTGAGAAATATAATCAACAAATGCCATTCTCTGAGATGACAGAGATAGTAGAATCATCTGACCAGGATTTTTAAGCAGCCATCATAAAAGTGCTCAGAGGGACAATTATTATAATCATGGGCTTGAAAAAAAACACAAAGAGAAAAACTTCAGTGGTATAGGACTGGGGATGTAGCTCAGTGGTACAGTACTTGCCTGGTGTATGCAAAGCCCTGGGTTTGATTCCCCAGCAGCGTACACACACACAAACACACACACACACACACACACACACACCAAAAAAAAATATATATATAAGAAAAATATAAAATTTTAGAAATGAAAAATACAGTAACTGAAATAAAAAAATTCACTGGATTGCCTAACAGTATAATTGAGAAAAGAATTAATGAACATGAAGCCAAAACAACATAAATTATCCAATCCAAACAAAACAGAAAAAATAGACTGGAAAATAAAGAACAAAGCCTCAGACAGCTAGAGGACTATAACAAAAGATCTAACCTTTGTGTCATTAAAGAACTGAAGGAGGAGGCTGGGGGAAGCAGTGCTGAAAAAGAAAAAATAATGGCTGAAATATTACCAAATTGGGCAAAAGATATAAATCTACAGAATCTTMAAGATTCTGAATAAACCCCAAACAGGATAAATCCAAAGAAATTCATACTCAGATATATCTGAAAACTAAAGACAAATTATCTGGCATAGGGTGTGGTGACCCTCACCTATAATCTCAGCAACTACAGAGGCTGAGGCAGGAGGATCCCAAGTTCAAAGCCAGCCTCAGCAACTCAGTGAGACCCTGTCTCAAAATAAAAAAATAAAAATGGGGACTGGGACTATAGCTCAGTGGTACAGTGCTTGCCTGGCATGTGTAAGGCACTGGGTTCGATCCTCAGCACCACATAAAAATAAATAAATAAAATAATGGTATTGTGTTCATCTACAACTAAAAAAAAATTCTTTTTAAAAATTTAAAAATAAAAATCGGGCTGGGGTTATGGCTCAGCAGTAGAGCACTCGCCTAGCATATGTGAGGCCCTGGGTTCAAACCTTAGCACCACATAAAAATAAATAAGTAAGGGCTGGGGATGTGGCTCAAGCAGTAACGCGCTCGCCTGGCATGCGCAGGGTGCTGGGTTCAATCCTCAGCACCACATAAAAATAAAATAAAGAACAAAAAAACAAATAACCCAATCAACAAATGGGCCAAGGATCTGAACAGACACTTCTCAGAGGAGGACATACAATCAATCAACAATTACACGAAAAAATGCTCACCATCTCTAGCAGTCAGAGAAATACAAATTAAGACCACTCTAAGGTACCATCTCACTCCAGTTAGAATGGCAGCCATTATGAAGTCAAACAATAACAAGTGCTGGCGAGGATGTGGGGGAAAATGTACACTTGTATATTGCTGGTGGGACTGCAAATTGGCGAAGCCAATTTGGAAAGCAGTATGGAGATTCCTTGGAAGGCTGGGAATGGAACCACCATTTGACCCAGCTATCCCCTTCTCGGACTATACCCCAAAGACCTAAAAAGAGCATACTACAGGGACACAGCTACATCAATGTTCATAGCAGCACAATTCACAATAGCTAGACTGTGGAACCAACCCAGATGCCCTTCAATAGATGAAAGGATAAAAAAAAATGTGGCATTTATACACAATGGAATATTACTCAGCTCTAAAAAATAACAAAATCGTGGCATTGGCAAGGAAATGGATGGCATTGGAGCAGATTATGCAAAGTGAAGTTAGCCAATCCCTAAAAAACAAATGCAGAATGTCTTCTTTGATATAAGGGCGGGGGTGACTCAAAACGGGGTAGGAAGGAAGAGCAAGAGAAGAAAATTACCTCTAGATAGGGAAGAGAGGTAGGAGGGAAAGGGAGGGAGAAGGGGAATTGCATGGAAGATGGAAGGACACCCTCATCATTATACAAAATGCATGTATGATGATGTGAGGGTAAAAAAAAAGAAATGTGTCACATTAGATTGGGTAGAGAGAAGTGATGGGAGGGGAGGGGAAGGGGGACAGAGAGGGGGCGGGGGGATAGGAAAGGCAACAGGATAAAACAGACACTAGTATTGCCGTATGTATATACATGTCTGTATAACCAATGGGATTCTGCAACCTGTACACTCAGAAAAATGAGAAATTATACCAATTTGATTCAAATGTATGATATGTCAAGATCATTGTATTGTCATGTGCAACTAATAAAAAAAATGAAAAAAAGAGGTTGTGTCCACCGAAAACTAAAATAAACAAATAAATATATATTTTTAAAATTCTCTCTTTAAAAATAAATAAATAAATATATGTGTCCAACTACAATTAAACAAATAAATAAATATTTTTAAAATAAATAAATAAAAATAAAAATGGCTGGGGCTCAGTGGTAAGAGCTCCCGTGGGTTCAACCCTCACTACACAAAAAGTAGAAAGAAAAAACGAAGAAAAGAAAGTGATCTTGAAAGTAACAAGAGAGAAATGACATCTTAAACAACATGACTGGTAGTGGATCTCTCATCAGAAGTCACGAAGGCCAGAAGAAAGTGACATGACAGTTTTTTAATAGAAAGAACTACTATCTGAGATTTCTAATCCAAAGAAAATATTCTACAGGAATGAAAGATACATCGAGACATCTTCAGATGAAGAAGAAAAAAGAGAACAGTTTGCTCACAGACTCACTATAAGAATTTCTCAAGAGAAAGGAGATTTAAAAAAAGGGAGCTTGGACTTCAGGAAGGGAGAGAGAACACAGTAAGAAGATATGGGTAAACGCAGTAGACCTTTCTTCTCCTCTTGAGTTTTCCAAATTATGTTTGACAGTTTAAGCAGAAAAAAGTATAAAGTGCTTATGTTTACTCCTTGCAAGCTCAAAATCATTTGAGATTATAAGTTTTCAAAATCCTCAGCAGGACCAGCTATATAATCTTCAGTGCCCAGTATAAAATTAAAAGGCAAAATCCCATTTCCTCAAAAAGCTAAATATAGTATTACCATATGACCTAGCATTTGCACTCCCAGATATATAACCAGAAGAATTGAAAGTGGGGACTCAAATAGGTACTTATATTTCAGCATGCATTGCCACTTTATTCACAGTAGCTATAAGGTAGAAATAACCCAAGTATCCATCGACAGGTGAATAAACAAAACATGGTATACACACATATGATGAAATACTATTCAGTTATAAAAAGGAATGAAGATCTGATACATGCTACAACACATATGAATCTTGCAGACATTATTTTAAGTGAAATAAGCCAGGACAAACATCTGATGATTCCCCTTATGAGAAATATCTAGAATAGGCAAATTCACAGAGGCAGGAAGTAGAATAAAGTTTACCATGGGCTGGTGGGGGAGTAGGAGTGGGAAGTTATTGCTTAATGGATGCAGAGTTTCTGTTTGGGGTGATGAAATGGTTTTGGAAACAGACAGTGGTGAGAGTTACACAATATTGTGAATGTAATTAATCCAATGAACTGTGCACTTAAAAATGGTTAAAATGTCAAGTTTCATGTCAGATGTCTTTTACCATAATTAATGATAATGTCATTATCAAAACTACTGAAATTTCCCAAAACTATTGAATTCGTTTTAAATGGGCTAATTGTATAGTATGAGAGGAAGGGACTTGGGAAAGAAAGAAGAGGGGAAAGCATTGACTTCTGGGGAGGCAAACTGAATGGCTGTAAGACGTAAGAGATTTTCCACTCTATTGTATATCCTTTTGTACCTTTTTAATTTTATACTTATTTTTATAAAAATAAGTTACATATTTTTGAAATAAAAACATGCAAAGTCCTGTGTTCAGAAATGATTAAGAATTTAAAGATGCCAATAGCAGAGCTGGAGATCATGCCTGGGGTCCTTCTAAAGCCCTGATGAGTGGCTCTGAGGCCCCTTGCCTCTCTATTTTGCTAAAGACTACATTTCCAGAGATCATAAATTTAAGGTACTTCAAAACTACCAGTAGATATTGTATTTATTTCCCTTTCCTACCACTGTGCCCACTGGGGCAAGAGAATGGAGCAGATTGGGATGCTTGACCACAGCTGGAACTGGGTCACCTCTGCTGCCTCCGCCCCTTCAATGCCACCACAGAGCAGTTCTAAGGAGCAGTGCAGAGGASAGCCTTCCCTGGGCGCACCTCTAAGTAACAGAGCACATGCTGAGGGCCCATGGTGAGGCCCGMAGAGTGCTCAAAATCTTTTCTTGCATTATCTTATTCAGACCTCACCTCTGCTTCCTTTCAGGTGAGAAAACTGAGGCTCAAGATTACACAGGATGGGAACCTACATCAGATCTCCGTGGGAAGCTGACCCAGGCAGAGTGATGGGTGCATACATTTTCTGGGATCCTAACTTCAGGATCCTGCAAAGGACTTGTCCCATCTAGAAGTAACAGGGCCTCCTGCAATGGATTTGTCCCATCTAGCAGACCCTTAAGGCCCTAAATTGTCAGATCTTCCCATTTTACAAGAGATGCAAGAAAGTCACTTTTTCTTTTTTTAATTTTATTGGTTACTAGGGATTGAACCCAGGGGCACTCAACAACTGAGCCACATTTGCAGCCCCTTTTATTTATTTATATGTTTTGGTACCAGGGATTGAACCTAGGGGTGCTCAACCACTGAGCCATAATACCAGTCCTTTTTCTTTTTTGACACAGGGTCTTGCTAAGTTGCTGAGGGCCTTACTAAACTGCTGAGGCTAGTTTTGAATTGGTGATCCTCCTGCCTCAGCCTCTAGAGACTCTGGGATTATAGGCATGCACCACCATGCCCCACAAAAAGTCACATTTTTATGGGGGATCTGTACAAGGTTTTTCAGTGTGGGCTTACATTGAAATAAATGCTGCTGAGGCCCAGCACAGCACACAGGCCACAGGTGGTGGTTTCTCTGTGGCCTGCCCTGTCTCTCKAGCCTCCTTGGAGCACCCATGACCACAATGGAGATGCCTCCATAGGGACACTGGTTTGTGTGTGGAATCCAGGAGGGCATGAAGGGAGGTGTCCTGCCCCGCTTCCAGCTGCAGGGTGCTGCCTGCCTCCCACTGACCCTTCTCACTTTGTGATGGTAAGCAGTGTGGCTTTGGATGTGACATCCCAGATCTTGATGGACCTATCCAACGAGACAGAAGCCAACTTCTGGCTGTCAGGGTCAAAGCAGCATGCCATGATTGATCTTCTGTGATGATCTGCAGCACAGGAAGAGTGACTTGTCACCATGAGGTCCACATACTGGGTTACATGCTTTATATGGTCTAGAGGACTCACAAGACTCCCCCCCCCCCCAGCAACTTTATGGAAACACACTTCCAGTTTTCTTAAGGGACAATTCAGCCTTCCAGACCTTTCCTGAATGTCTACTATGTGCAAGGCTTTGAACAGTGAGACTAGTTGGTCTACTCTTGATGCCCTCACAGAGCTCTCAATCTGATAGGAACTACCTGCTACATGCTGAGGATCTTGAGAGCAGTACACGGTACATCATAGCTCCTGGCCACAAGAGATCAAAAGGGATTGATCCCCTCCAGGGATCAAAAAGGGTCCTAAAAGTCATCAAGGGAAGCAGGAAAGGACGAGTGCTCCAGACAGAAGGAACAACACATGCAAAGGCCTGGAGAGTGGGATGCATGGGAAAGTGAGGTGCCCAGTTAGAACCTGGAGTGTGAGGAAGCTGGGCGGGATGGCACATGCCTGTGAATCCAGCAGCTGTGGAGGCTGAGGCAGGAGAACCACAAGTTCAAGGTTAACCTCAACAACTTAGTGAGATCCTGCCTCAAAATAAAAAMTAAAAATGACTGGGATATAGCTCAGTGGTAAAACACGCTGCGTTCAATCCCCACTACCACAATACCTAATAAAAAGGAAGCATAAGGAAAAGATAGAATGTAAAGTGATTCATGAAGGGAAAAATACAATCTGTGGGGTGGCACACATATCATGGTAACATGATGATAAAAATAAGTAAAAATAAACATAAAGGACCTATGGGAAGTAGATACACATACCCCCCCCCAACACACACATGTTCAGGAAAACTACTTGGCAATGTATTGCTAATAATAGATCACTGTGGGCTAGGGTGTGGTTCAGTGGTACAGTGCTTGTCTAGCATGTGTATGGCCCTGGGTTCCATTCCCAGCACCACAGAAAATAGTGATAATAATAATAGGTTATATTATTGTTATATAATATATAATCATAATAATGGATTATTATATAGTAATAGATAATAGATAATTATCAAAATCTGGGGAAGAGATAAGACAGGTGAAGCCACCTTTTATCTTTTATTTTACACGCTGAATTTGTTTTTACAATGATCATATATTTTTTAACTTTTTATTTTGAAATAACTGCAAATCTCCTTCTAGGCACAAGAAATAACAGAGAAATCCTTGTATGCCCTTCACCCAACTTACCCTCACACTTATACCTTAYATCACCATATTACAGTGTCATATCCAGGAAATTGACACACAGTGATGATTTTTTTAAATTTTTATTTTTAGTTGTAGATGGACACATTATCTTTATTTTTATTTGTTTATTTTTATGTGGTGCTGGGGGCCAAACCCAGGGCCTCACGCATGTGAGGCGAGAGCTCTACTACTGAGCTACAACCCCAGCCCTGATGATTATTTTTAAATTGTAAAAATACAGGTGGAAATGATAAGACAGTCAAGCCTCCACTCAATAAAAAGTTAGACTTTCAATGTCCACGTGAGGTTGAGCAAAATGTTTCATTTGCTACAAGCATGAGACAGAAGGGAAAGCATTTATTAAAGACTTGGTTTTAACTGCTTTTCTTAGTGGGCATCCCACTTTACTTATATGGCTTTTTTCATAATAGTTCTGCCAAATAAACCACTGGAAAGTCACTACCTGTCAAGTGACACGCAATTGTTCCTATAACAGACAGAATGAGCAGGGAGCTGTGCAACCTCACCTTTAATGTTTGCCAAAATGGTGGTGTTTTCCGCATCCATTATGCAGATTCCACGATCCACATCCAAGCTTAAGGCCACATATTTGCCGTTAGGAGATAACTTACAGGACACTATGAAGTAATCATGGTTGGTCTGCCACTGAAAAGAAGAACAACTGAAAAGTTGTTTTCCCTTTCTCTCTGACCCAGGTCTTCCCGGTAGGACTTTCTGTGATGATGGACTGTTCTGTCCTTGAACCATCCAACATGGCAGCCACTGGCCACATATGGTCACTGAGTACTTCTAATGGGCTAGTGAGAAGAAAAGAACTGAATGTTTAAGTTTGCCTTTAATTCATTAAATCAATAATATCTGTGTCCAGGAGGGACACAGARAATACCTAGAGATATGGCAGTAAGGTTGTAGCAATGGCAACTTTCTTCCTATTCAGTTGAGTAAACAAGACTTTACTAAATGTCTGCCCTATACACAGACAAGACCAAAAAAAAAAAACCCAGCCCTCCCCAACCCTACACCCAAGAGCAAGAAGGGGACAATGAATGGACTGCTCAACAATGTAGGAGAGGAGGATCTCTCTATACATCATAAATCATAGTATTGTTATTGTGATGGCTTTAGAATTTTCCTCAAACTCTTCATCAGTCCTCCCTCCAACAGGTGGAATAAAAGAGCCCTCCTCTTGAATGTTGCTTCTAAACAGTAAAATGTGGCAGAAAGGACAATGTGGCATTAGGTTATAAAAAAAATCAAGGGACTGGGGTATAGCTCAGTGGTAGAGCAATGTTTGGTTTTTTCAAAGGCCTGGGTTTAATCCCTAAAATTAAAAATAAAAATGAAAAAAAAATCATAGCTTACTCCTTGTTCTTTCTTGGCTCATGTACTCTGTGGGAGTTAACTGTCATGTCCATATGTCTCCCTGGGGGTCCTCATTGAGATGAACTGAGGCCTCCTGCCAACAGCCATGTGAGTGAGCCATCTTGGAAAGAGTCCCTTCGGCCCCAGTGGAGCCTTAAAATGACTGTAGCCCCACGAGACATCTCTACTGTGACTTTACAAAATACCCGAGCCAGAACCACCCAGTTAAGCTGCTCCTAGATTTCCAACTGTGAGCAGCTATGTGAGATATAAATGTTGCTGTTCAAAGCTGCTAAGTTTCAGAGTCATTTATCAAGCCTCAGTAGATAACTAGTTGAGTTCACCGTTGGCAAAAGGCATGGATGACTTGTGCAACAAAAATAAATAGAAGTACTTTTAAAGAAGAAAGAGAAAAGCACTTCAAGTAGGAAAACTGGCTAATGACAAGAATAATAGGAAACTTACAACAGAAGAAATAAACATGTAGGAAAATATTCAAAGTAAAGAAAAATCAGTGCAAGTCTTGCTTTTCAGCTATCATATGGACTAGAATTTTGTTTAAATCATGATATCTAGCATGTGAGAGTAGGAGATGGTGTATTCCTCTTGAGCACCTAGRGTATGAGTTGGCATAAATTTCTCAAAGGCATTTTTTAAATTAGCAGTGACTGCTGGGTGCAGTGGCACATGCCAGCAATTCCAGCAACTCGGGAGGCTGAGGCAGGAAGTTTGCAAGTTCAAGGCCAGGATGAGGCTGGAAGATCACAAGTTGTTGGAAGCCAGGCCTAGCACCTTGGTGAGACCCTAATCAACTTGGTGAGACTGTCTCTAAATAAAAAAATATTGGGGAAAAAAAAAGATTGGGGATGTGACACAGTGGTTAAGTGGGTTCAATCCCCAGTACCAAAAAAAAAAAAACCCAACAACAAAATTAGCAACAAAATCTAGTTATATACCCTAAAACTGGAACATGGCTGGGCACACTCACACATGCCTGTRATCCCAGCAACTCAGGAAGCTGAGGCAGGAGGATTGCAAGTTTGAGGCCAGCCTCAGCAACTTAGTGACCCCTGTCTCAAAATAAATTAAAAAGGCTTGGGATTATGGGGCTGGGGTTGTGGCTCAGTGGTAGAGTGCTTGCCTAGCATGCGTGAGGCACTGGGTTCAATCCTCAGCACCACATAAAAATAAAGAAATAAAGTACTATGTCCAACTACAACTAAAAAATAAATATTGAAAAAAAAAAAAGGCTTGGGCTATAGCTGAGTAGTAAAACACCGCTGGGTTCAATCCCTAGTACAAAAAAACTTGTTTTTTTAAGGAGTGGGAGAGAAGACAAAAGAAGAGGGGAGGCCATAAGTTATTGCTGAAGGTAGAACAGAAGAGCTGGGAACAGAGAAGTTCCCTAGTAGGCCCCTGAGCAGGACTGAGGTTGCCCAGGCATGGGCAGGAAAGGGTGAGAAAGGGTAGATCTCAGGCCTATTTGGTGGGTAGATAGTAGCCCCCTCTAAGACAGAAAGAGAACAGATTGGGAAAGGCACAAAGTTATGATTCTTTGGCCACAATGGCCTGTGTCCCATGGCCTCAGCCCCACTTCCTGCCTCATCAAATTCAAATAGCCCACAGGGGACCCTGAATACCATGCCCAACCCCAACCCAGCCTCTTTCTGTGTAGCCAAACCCTTCCCATCTTTCAAACAGAAGCCCTTGATCTGCCTGTTACACCCCCTCCACCATCTACATCTTCCAAACTTTGCAAGCGATGACCACCATCGAGTGCTGTATACATCTACATCTTGGTCCCCAAGAAAACTCTCCATTCCTGGAAAACTGGGGTTTTGTCATCACTCCCAATTCAAAGTCCAGCCCAAAGCTACAAGGCCCAGTCAAGATCCTGGGCCATGGGGGCAGGATATACATACCAGCAGCTGGCCTGTTTCAAGGTCCCAAGTCCTCACTGTTTTGTCATAGGATGCTGCAATAATTCTAGAAATAAAATGACAAACGTTGGGCCTTAACCACAGAGACAATCAGGCCTGTGGTTTCTATGAGGACTTTTTCTTCTTTTTATAATTTAGGACCAAGATTGCAAATAATAAAAGAATCTTTCAAAAGATGCTCCATGAGCCCCACTGGGGAGTAGTGTGTTCCCATTCAAAACAGAGACAATCTAATATTACCAATTATCTTCTGTACTCCTTCGGCCAGCCAGATACGTTCTTTTATATTTAAGGCTTTAAAAGTAGCATTTCTTCTGTTCTGTAATTTACAACATCCTTCTAAGAAGATCTTTATAATTCATAAGGACCACTCACTTCCCTCTCTGCTCATGTCTTTTTACAGGAAAACGCATTCATAGACAGCTGACTTTGTTTTGAAATATTTTATTGTACATTTAGCTAAAAACAAATGTACTTTTGTCTCCTTATATTCCACATYTCTGTGGCAAAGTTTGTCTCTATAAAATCCTATGAAACGTAAATCCCATTCTAGTTTTTTTATTAGTATACCAGTTTCAGAGCTGCTACTCAGGATAAAATCTAAGCCATTTTAAAGCAAGTATTCTTGACTGTTARAGGCCCACCTCCCATTTCTCACATCCAAGTGAAGAGATTTACGCAAACACATCCCTGAAGCTTTCTTCTTGTGAGCCACTGCTTCCTATCCCTGACCCTTCCCAGATGACAGCTCATGCTTTCCTAGGCCTCAATTTCCCCTGAAAAATAAGAGTCTTGACTAGATTGCTAAGGCCCCTTGCAGCTGCCACAGTCTCCATGTGACTACAGGGCCAGACAGGTTTAATGATTCACTGAACTCCTTCAGAGTCATATTCACAGCTGAGAGTTATTATAGTGACAATCACAAAGCCAAACCAGCAAAGAGAAAGGAGCTTGGGGTGTCGTCCAGAGAAGACAGTCTAGGTTTCCATGAAGAAAATTCAGAATGGCTTAACCACAATAAATGTTCTCTTTTAAGTGCTTTAAGTTTTCAATGTGCTGTCACATCCACTTGATTTCTCACAACAAAAGAGTAGATACCCTGAGCCCCAATAAGGGAACATAGTTGTGTATTTGCYTTAAAAATTTTTAAAACAAAACACTGTCACTGTCATGTCTGTACAGTGGGCTGCCGGCTGCCTCTCACTTTTCCTGCCCAGGGTAAACAAGAGGAAAGGTTACCTTCTGCTGTCAGCTGTGATGCTGCACTCTGTAACAGGAGCTGAGGGCCCTTCCTCAAAATCCCGAATCACAGATCCGTCCATGGCATCCTCAAATCAGCAGGAGAGAGAGGACAGAGAGTGGTCACAGCTATGTTTGCTGAAGTCATGGAYTGAGGTCAACAGCAGCCTTTAGCTTTCCTACTGGTCTCTATGACTTTCACTCAGTTCCAAAGATCAAAAGGACTTTCCAACACCTCCCTGATCCTGAGCAGAAAGGATGCCCTTGCCTTGCACAGCATCCAGTAATACTCCCCTATTGCTCCACACACACCAGATGGGCACTGGCCACTCTTGAAGCAGAACTGCAGAGAATATTCTCATTATTTACTGGTGAGAGAGAGAGAGAGAGAGAGAGAGAGAGAGAGAGAGGGAGAGGGAGAGGGAGGAGAGAGAGAGATATTTTTTAATGTTTATTTTTTAGTTTTTGGCAGACACAACATCTTTGTTTGTATGTGGTGCTGAGGATTGAACCAGGGCCGCACGCATGCCAGGCAAGCGTGCTACCGCTTGAGCCACATCCCCAGCCCCTAGCAATATCTTTCAAGAACTTTCTTTTTAAACATTACGTCCTTTGACCCAACATTTCTACTCTGAGAGGGCCCTCCTAACAAAATAAACATATTTGTGGTCAAATAAGTATGCATAAAAAGGTTCATCCATGATTGGGGATATAGCTCATATAGCTCAGTTGTAGAGTGCTTGCCTAGCATGCATAAGGCTCTGGGTTCAATCCACAGCACCCAAAAAAAAAAAAAGAGAGAGAAAATAAGTTCAACTCAGCAAGACCCTGTCTCTAAATAAAATATTTTAAAAGGCTGGGGATGTGTCTCAATGGCTATGTGCCCCTGTGTTCAATCCCTGGTATCAAAAAAAATAAAATAAAATAAGAAGAAGAAGAAGAAGAAGAAGAAGAAAAAGGTTCGTTCTGCATTGTAGGTAATGTGTGATGCAAAAATAAGGCAAGAGTCTAGGTGTCCATCTAAATGGGAATGGTTAAAATAAACTTTGGTGGTACATGCCTGCAATCTCACTACACAGGAGACTGAGACAGGAGGGTCTTGCAAATTCAAGGCCAGCCTGGGCAATTTAAGGAGACTGTCTCAAAATTAACAAACAGAAATGTAGCCTGCCCAATAGGGGAGCACTGACAACTGCTGACAATTATGCTGAAGGTCAGTAATGACAGAATGTGATGAGAGCAAAGCAGGGTACCAGAGTAGAAGGGTATCTGTGGTAGCAAAGACAAAATATTTTTAGTAACATATGTGCCAACAGCTTTTTAGGATAAACAGCAGGGGAAGAGGTTACAGGGAGCCCCATTGACACAAGTTATTGGTAAGACAATGACTCACTTTGTTTTCTTTTTATATTTCCTTTTTAAAAAAATGACTAACTAGAAAGGTCTTGCATTTGTTATGTAAAATAATGGTGCCAGGGTGTAGGAATTTTTCAGTCTGAAAAGGGCAGGTCTGTGACAACACTCCCTGGATATATAAAGACCACTTAGCATCAGGACTCCAAGGCCTTCTGGTAAGGGACCCCATGTTCAGGGGACAGGTTTTATATATATATATATATATATTTTTTTTTTTTTTTCTGTGAACTAAGGAAATGATAACTGTGGGGCCTGGAACTGAGAGAGGCCCACAGAGTATGGAGAGGGCCCCCTATCAACTAAAAGCGTTACTAGAATGGATGGGAACTATGGGGCTGTGCAGGTTCAGTACTTAACAGTGACACCCCATGGCCAAGAGGAAGAATAGCAGTTATGGACTGAAGTGCCTGCTCTCTTCACTTGGCATTGGGAAGCTGGATTCCAAACGCCAAGTGAATACAGTGGATTCAATTTAAGGGGAAAATACTAGTCAGATTTTGAATGATTGGGGAGGAAGAGGCTATGATAACAGGAAAATTCAAGGAGATGTGATAATATGTGTAGCTCAAGTGTACTATGGATATATATTCAGTATTTCTATGTGGTCGAGAGAAAATACCCTCCAGCAATTTCAGAGCAGATAACTCTGGGGTCATGAAATGATGAGTTTTTGTGTTTATGTATTTTCTGTAATAAAATCATATTGCCTGTATGAGAAAAATTACCAAACGTATTTTTTATGTTTAAAAATATATTTTACTGTGCTCTAAAAGAAAACACAGTAATAATAAAGAAATAATATCATATTTATGCAAATGGCTTATGTATCCTACTTCTAGAAATCTACCCAAACTTATTTTTTTAATGACAATAAAGAAAAGTGCCAATATATTTCGAGGAACATTGGAAATGGAATGAAGGATGACTTTCTTCCCTGGTTTCTTCATATGGACCTTCCAAATTATTCACAATGATCTCACATTCGAGAAAAAAAAGGGCTTTTAAAAGATAAAGTTAGGCTGGGGATATAGCTCAGTTGGTAGAGTGCTTGCCTCACATGCACAAGACCCTGGTTTCAATCCCCAGCACCATCGAAAAAAAAAAAAAAAAAGAAAGAAAGATGAAATTAGATGTTCGGGTGCTGGTTGAAATCAAGATTCTGTGAATAGAGAAGGTGGTTGTGTGCAGTAATGGCTTTATCCTCTTCAGAGGGAAAGAGGGTACAGGATGAGAGCAAAGGTTGAGGCAGGAAGAGCCACAGCTGGGGGGGAAGAAAATAGGGAAAAGAAAAACAATGGGAAGTGAAAGAGCTCCTGGGAGGGGGCAATCAATGGGGCCAGCCAAGTTAGGAAGCCCTAGGGAGAGCTGGCAGTGGTGGGGTTAGAGGGGAGGATGGAAGGAAGGCAGAGGGCAAGAGCCTCAGGATGCTCAGCCTGCCTGGAGATGGCAGCAGAGCGGGTAGGCAAGTGCAGTGGCGAGGGTAGGGTGCTCGGACATGTTTCCTGAGATAAGAAGAAGGATGGCTTGTGAGAAAGAGGAGGACATTTGAGGTAGCAAATGTAGAAGTCACTGCCTGTGGATGGGGGATGGGAAAGGCAAGGAGCAAGGGCAAGTAGGCCATGGTGGGGAACAGAGGATATCACCATGAATGGTCCCTAATTTGGGGACAACAATCAGAGTGGAAACAGGTAGTATGCATTGATGGAGATAGGAGCCCTTTAGCCAAAACAGAGAGGGACACTATGACTGAAATGGAAGAATCTGTAGATGGTAAAGCAAAACACATATTTGGAAAGTTGCTATGCCCCCTACCCTAGGTGATGACAAGAGCAGGGATTCCCTTGTCCCCAGTGTATTTTGGTCACCCTAAGGATTAGAAAAGTGTTTAAGGGTCCTTGAGAAAGTCACAGTTTTCCCAAGGAGATCATGGGCTCTGGGGACAGGGATTTTTACAGGGCAGCTACAAAAGGAGGCAGTGGCAGTCTGATGGGGTCTGGTCTGTGAGCTAGGCAAGCCTGTGGCAGCCCCGAAACACAGCTGGTCCTGAGATTTGAGAGACTCAGGAAGGCCCAGGAAGTCATGTAACTACCTAGGGTTACAGAGCTGGTAGGTCCTAAATTGGGGTCTGAACCAGCCTGTAAAGACCTCAAATCTCCCATCAGGTCAACCTGGCCTTGGTACCCACAGATGACAGAAGATGTTCCTCTGTGGTTATCTGTAGAGTCAGGAGATCTCAGCTACCCAGTTCCCAAAGCAGAACCAGGGAACCAGCCTTGATTCTCTCCACCATTCCCCTTCCTGCTTCTGAAACCAGAAGACAACAAAACTCAAAACTGACTGTCCTCCCCCATGGATTAGAGCCCCAGCCACACAGCCATCTATAATTTGGCCCCTGATGGCCACTGCCATCCTCCAGCCCTGCTTCCTTCTCACCTACTCCTCACTAAACAGCAATGCCTTCAAAAAAAAAAAACCTGTGCAGATCTCCTAGCATGTCCAGAAAAGTTCTGGAAGGGCTCCAGGTGGTCACCTCTCTGCAACCTTGCCTGAACATCACACCCTCATCCCTTGTGCCCCTGCCTCCTACACTTTGGGGTGCTGATCTGTACTCAGACCTACCTCTCTCAACCACCTCTCATGGACAGGTCCTAGGCCTGGCCATATTTCTGTCCTCTATGACAACCCAGACCTGGCCATACAGTCTCTGTGGTTGAAAGAGGAGACCCAGAGAAATGACAGCTCAGAAACCTCAGGTAGTACCCAGGCACAGCAGAACCACCCTCAAAAAAGCTGGGAGTTCTAAGTCTAGTGGTCTCATCCCCTGCTCTCAGAGCATCCAGATTCTTAGACTGGCCTAAGCTACACTGACTTCTCTTTCTGGTTACTTGACACTAAGGCAGGTTCCTCCTYCTTCTTCTTTTTTTAAATATTATTTTTTAGTTGTAAGTGAACACAATATCTTTATTTTAATGTGGTGCTGAGAATCAAACCCAGTGCCTCACGTGTCCTGGGCAAGCGCTGTACCTCTGAGCCACAACCTCAGCCCCTAAGGTTCCTCCTTCCTGCAACTCTGTTCAGAAGGCCTTTACAAATCTTGGGATCGTTAAGTGTCAGGAAACAGTACTGCAGAACTTTTCATAAAAGGTGCCTAATCTTAGTTGCAGGAGAACCTAACACAGAGCCACCTACCCACAGTTTCACAGTGCGATCATAGGAGCCACTGAGGAGCTTGGTGTCGTTCACGCAGAAGTGGCAGGAACTCACAACATGGTCATGCCCGCTCAGAATTTTAAATGGGATCTGAAAAAAAGGATAGGCCATATAAGTTTAAGAAGGTTGTAGGAGCTGAGTTCAGTGGTACATGCCTGTAATTACAGTAGCTCAGGAGGCTGAGGCAGAATGATCGCAAGTTTAAAGCCAGCCTCAGCAACTTAACAAGGCCCTAAGCACCTTAGTGAGAACTYGTCTCAAAAAATAAAAACAGCTGAGGATGTGGCTCAGTGATAAAGCACCCCTGGGTTCAATCCCTAGTACCATAAAAAAAAATGTTACAGGATACAAGGTCAATATATAAAAAATAATTATATTTCTAACTACAAYACATGAACAATATAAAAAAAATTCCAAACAAAAAACATTTGTAAAATCATCAAAAAGAATATATAAAAATTGACTGAACAAAGAAAATATAAAACCTACACTCTGAAAAAAAGATATTTTTGAAAGAATTTAAAGACAATCAAAATAAATGGAAAGACATACCATGTTCATAGATGGGCAGATGTGATGTTTTTAATATGACAATATTCTCCAAAATGATTCAACACCATCCAAATTCTAAGCTTTCTTATTTGTAGAAATTGCTAAACTGATTCTAAAACTTTTATAGAAATTCAGGAGAATCCAAATAACCAAGACAATCTTAAGAATAAAGGTTAAGAGGGGCTGGGGATATAGCTCAGTTGGTAGAGTACTTACCTCGCATGCACAAGGCCCTGGGTTCAATGCCCAGCACCACAAAAATAAATAAATAAATAAATGTAAAGGACTAGAGAACTCACATTTTCTAATTTCAAAACTTACTACCAAGCAACTGACCAAGACAGCATAATAATGGCATAAATATAGAACTACAAATAAATGAAATATAACTGAGAATCCAGAAAGAAACATTTAATTTTTATAAGGGTGTCAAGACAATTAAAAAGAGACAATAGCCTTTTTTAGCAGTTTTTGCTGAGACAAATGGCAAGAGAACAGAGTTGGACCTTTACCTCACACCATCTATTAAAACAATCTCAAAGTGAATCAAAGACTCAAACGTAAGAGTTAAAACTATGACTCTTACAAGAAAACAAGTGTAAATGATTTTTGCATCAGGCATAGCGTCTTAGATATGACACCAAAACACAAGCAATAACATGGGTGGACATTAGCAAAATGAAAAAAAAATTGTGCTTTGAAGCACAATTTCAAAGAGAACTTTCACTTCAGTAGCACATATAATAAAATTGGAACAATATAGAAGTTAGCATGGTACCTGCACAAGGATGACATGCAAATTCATGAAGCATTCTGTATTTTTAATGATCAAATCTTGTACAATATATTTAATATGACAATATTCTCCAAAATGATTCTAAATTCTACTTTTCTACTGACATTTCTAATTCTAGTGTAAATATTTATCAATAAAGAATTAGTTTTTTAAAAAGCATACCATCAAAAAAGTGAAAAAAATCACATAATGGGAATTTTTTAGTTTTATTTTTTGGTACTAAGGATTGAATCCAGAGGCACTCTCCCATTGAGTTGTATCCCCAGCTCTTTTATTTTTTATTTTAAGACAAGATGTCACTTAGTTGTTCTGTTTGGCTGTGAATTTTCGATCTTTCTGCCTCAGTCTCCTAAATTGCTGGGATTACAGGAATGTGCTACCATAATTGGGAATAATTTTTAATAATATATATGATAGGGTACTTGTATCTGGAAAAAAATAAATATTTATTATTATTATTATTATTATTATTATCATCATCATCATTTTGTGGTGCTAGGATTTAACTCAGAGCCTTATACATGCAAGGCAAGCACTCTACCAACTGAGCTATACCCACAGCCCTGGAATATATTAAGAATTCTTACAACTCATCAATAAAAAGACAAACACCACAAATAAAAAGTAGGCAAAAGAGCCAGAGATGTAACTCAGTGATACAAGATTTTCCTAGCATAAATGATACTCTGGGTTCAATGCCCAGAACAGAAGAAAAAAAAATAGCAAAAGATCTGAACAGACATTTCTCCAAAGACATGCCAATAGTTGATAGTATATGAAGAGACTCTCAACATCATTAGCCATTAGGAAATGAAAATGAAAGCCATAGTGTGATACCATGTCACACTAATTAAGGTAGCTGTTGGCCAGAGATATGGAAAAATGGAAACTCACATTGCTGGCAGGAACACAAAGTGGTACAGCTATTTTGGAAAATAATTTTGCAGTTTTTCAGAAAGTGAAATTTGTGAATTAAAGTATGACCTAGCAATTTCACACCTAGGTGCAGATCCCATAGAAATGAAAATATCCACACAAAAAATGTGTGTGCTTAAAATGTTCATGGCAGCACTATTAATGCATTAAGTGGGAACAACCCAGATATCCAGCAAGTGATGAATGRATAAATAAAATTTCACAGCCAATATTATAGTTTGGATGTGAGGTGTTCCCMAGAAGCTCACGTGTGAGACAATGCAAGAAGCTTTGGAGGAGAAATGATTGAGTCACAGCCTTAACTATGACAGTGAATTAATCCCTGGTGGGATTAACTGAGTGGTAACTGAAGACAGGTGGGGTGTGGCTGGAGGAAGTGGTTCATTCAGCCTGTGGTTATGGGTTATATATTTTGTATCTGGAGAGTGGAGTCTCTCTCTGCTTTCTGATCACCATGTGAGCTGCTTCCCTCTGCCATATTCTTCCACCATGATATTCAGCCTCTCCTTGAACCTGGGGGAATGGACCTTGGCTGTCTATAGACTGAGACCTTTGCAACTGTGAGCCCTCAAACTTTTCCTCTTCTACAGTTGTACTGGTCGGGTCTTTCAGTCACAGCAGTGAAAAAGCTGACTAAAACAGCCATACAATGGAATATTATTTGGCAAAAAAAATAAAGAAGTACAGATGCATGCTACAATGTGGATGAACCACTAAAACTTTAGGCTAAGGAAAAGAATAATAATAAAAAATATTAAAAAATAAAAGAATAATAATCTTTTATTCATAAAAGACCACCTGTCACTTGATTCTCTTACTATGAGAGGTCTAAGATAGGTGAATCTATAAAGATGAAAAATAGATTRGTGGTTGCCTCGGCTTGGGAGGATGAGCTGTGGTAAAAGGGAGTGACTGATAGCTGGTACAGGGTTTCTCCGAGAGTGATGGAAACATTTTAGAATTGTTCGTGGTAATGGCTGGTGTGAAAAAAGATAGAACAATGAGATGAGGGGTTTGGGCTCCACTTCCAGGAAAGCAGACATGCTCAGACTAAGTCCGAGGAAGCGTAGGGCGTGGGTGGCAGGGTTGCGGGTGACCCCGCRGTGTGCATGGAGACCAGCAGGACTGTGGAGATGCGGAGGACTAGAAGATACCCGCCTTCAGAAGGTATGGGAACACAGGGATAAGGGAACTCATGGGATCCGCCACCAGAGGGCAGAAGCAAACCGTGGTAAGTGGCGGAGTCCTCTCCGCACAAGAATCCTGGTTTCCCCAGTAAGCTGCAGCCCGGGAATCCCAGGGACACCCAGCATCTCCACCAGTTGACCCTGCTGCAGCAGTTTCTGAGCTTTTCCTCTCCAGGGATGCTGCTGACAGGCAGAGGACAGTGGCTGGAGAAACCAAGTGGGTCACCCATAAGTCACTTGCTGGCCTGCGCGCCCTCCCTACCCATGGGGGCCAGGTCACTGCCCCTCACCCCAGGGGTGGTTCTGACCTTGGAGAGGGGCTGATGGTCGCCCCAGAACCTTTCCTCTGACATTTTTTCAGAGGCATTTTTCACAGGCTTCTGCGGAGCCTCCTTGTCCAAGGCCAGGGGATCGAGAGAGGCCAGCAGCCGGCTGTGGTATATATCCGGGATGGACAGCTTGAAACGGCGCTTGGCTCTCGCCACGTAAGTAGCCCCAGGCATCTTGAGAGGCCAGTACATTCCCGGAGGAACCGACCTCTTCCAGTCCTTGCTTATGGGTTTTGGGGAACCTGGCCTCCTGGAAGCCATCTCTGGACCCAACCCGCTGGTGGCCACCCATAGGCCTGGCCAGAACGGTAGCAACACGCGCGCCTCAGGARGCCGTTCGACCCACGAGCTACGCTGCTGGCCGCCTACTCACCTGCAGAGTGAAAATGGTTCCTCCCACCGCAGAACACTGCTTCCCCTAGAAAAATGGAGTCAGGCTCTGGGCATAAGAGGAAGGGGACAGAGCATGCAAATTTAGTAACCAATCTTGGTGCCCTCATTTGGGTCTTCCTAGCTCCCTGTCATAGAGTGATTTCTGTGTCCTTTGCATGCATAGGAGCTCCTGGGCTCATCCACTTCATGTCTGTCAGTTGACAGAGAAATGATCAATGAGTTATGGAATGGCCCCTGGACAGAATGCATGCAGCTGTTAGGGGAGGGTTCACACAGTTTATAAGACTTAAGGGAAAGATCTGTCACAAGGTCAGAGGGAAATGCTGCCTGTAGTCAGGTAACAGTTGCCTCATGGCTAAAAAAGACTGGATGGAATTAGTCCAAAATATTGAACGCTGTCACCTCTGGGTGGTAAAACTAGAACTGATTTTTCCCCTTCCTTCTCCTTTTATGGTTGTTCTGATTTATGAGGTTAATTTCATAATGTAAAAACCTCTGCATTTGGCTTTTTCTCCACCCTGCTCCTACCATTCTAGGGCTGGAACCCAGGGACATTTTTATGTTAGGCAAGCACTGAACCACTGAGCTGCAGTTTGCTTTCTGAAAAGGTTTCTCGTGGATACATATGAGCTGGCCTCAGAGCAGGGACCCAAGGGCTACCAGGGCAAAGACCTGGAGCAGGCATGACTCAGGCTGTRTGGGTGCACATCCTCCCACTCTGACTCCTTGCCTGTCTTGAACACTTTAGTGACACCAACTCTGAGAAGATAAGGGCCCCAGCCAGGACCCTGGCTCTGTTCTGYTCCACTTCCAATGAACCACCCCCCACACACCCACATCCTTCAGTATGTCCAAACTGACCTTACAGTGCTCAATTCTCTTCATAACAAAACTATGAGAAAGTCTTCATTTTTAATTTCTTTTTTAACATTCCAGGAAATTAAAAACCCAAGAAGAAAATAGAAAAATGCCACTTTAATTAAACTGTTCAGTCTGAATTTTTCCCTCTGACACTAACTGAAGTTAAAAATAGAAATCAATTTCTACAACCTTTCAAGGCAGACTTTGAAATGGCAAGGTTTTAAAAATTATTTTACAGCAGGAATTTACATATAAATACAATCTGTACAATACATTAACTGAACAGTCAATGAGTTTCCTTCATGGAGGAGATCTGATACTGGGACAGGCCAGGGCAGAATTCARTTACTGCCTTCTTAATGGGAGACATTTCAGTCTGAAAAGAAAACAGAAAAGAGAGAGAAGGTAAGTTAGAAATAAACTGAAAAAAATGAAACAGCTCTGTGAGGGCTGAGAATTCCACACCTCACAGTGGAATGTCTCCACATAGAAAGCACAGGTTGACCATTATAATGAAGCATAGCTTATTCTTATCTTAAAGTACTTCTTCTGTTACCCCCCAAATGTACAGAGACTCACTAACTCACATCTCACATTAGGACCTGTTTCTAAGAGCACTCTCTAATCCTGGTTTCACTTACCACTTCAGCCATTGTATGGCCTTTAGAGAAGGAACTAAAGTATGTTTGCTTCAGGGGCAAAAGCTCCAAAATCTTCAGTCTTAAATCTCAATTTCATATATATAAAARTGTTTATGGCAACTCTACTTAGAGTAGGGCTGAGTCATACTGGTTCTAGGCCCCTGCCCTATGTAGAAAAATCAAATGTCAGCTAAGTACAGTGATGCATGCCTGTAAACCCAGCAACTCAGGAGGCTAAGGCAGGAGGATCACAAGTTTGAAACCAGCCTCCACAACTTACTGAGACCCTGTCTTGAAATAAAAATAAAAAAAGAAGGAGGTGAAGTTCAGGGTAGAGAATCCCCAGTGCTAAAAGAAGGAAGGATAAAAGGAAAGGAGCTAAAACAAATCTTTTCTCTTTATAAGCTGATTATCTCAAGTATATGTTATAGTGATAGAAAGTTAACATATGTGTACATTTAGAAAAATCCAAAGACCTGAAGATGACTTTTTAACATCAATAGTACTTAACACATAGACATTGTTCTTCAGGTTTTGGTCTCAATATAGTAAAAGTTGTAGATGTTACTCAGCACATAGCTACTTGCCTATGTTTTCTGGCCCAGTCTACCACATGCTCCTAATGGGCACTGAAGGGCTTCCATCTATGTCCCTTCTATATGCAGGTAAAGTTCTGTAGGAATGATGTGCCAGATGACCAACATTGATCAACAGTGATATCAGTTATGGGGGAGATTATGTGGGCACGTGACTTAACCTCCATGCTTGGCTTTCCCCATCTAAGAGATGGGGTGACACAGAGTAGGGTGAAGATGAAATGAACTGATACCCAGATGTGCTTCCTGGTACCTTCTTCCCTGTCAGTACTCACATAAAGGAGGAAAGGGAAACATGAATTGGCACAGCTACTTCAGAAGGCTTTGGATTCAATTTAAATGTTCACATCCTTTGTATTTTTGAACCATGATAATGTATTGTCCTTCCAAAAGAAATAAATGAGGCCAGGCATAGTGGCACACACCTGTTATCCCAGTAGCTTGGGAGGCTGAGGTAAGAGGATCATGAGTTCAAAGTCAGGTTCAGCAAAGCGAGGTGCTAAGCAACTCAGTGAGACCCTGTCTCTAAATAAAATACAAAACAGGGTTGAGGATGTGGCTCAGTGATTGAATGCCCCTGAGTTCAATCCCCTGTAAACCACCCCCCCAAAAAAAAGAAAGAAATGAAAAAAAAAAAAAAAAGACCTGGGGATATAGTTCAGTGGTAGAGCACTTGCTCAATGTGTACAAGGCCCTGAGTTCAATCTTTAGCMACACACACACACACACACACAGAACAAAAAGGTGGAACCTGCCTTTCCAGACAGCAATACCATAAGATCATAGTTATTTAAAAAGGCATAAATACAAAACAATTAAGAAATCTAAGCAGAAAATCCCCATGGGCACAGGGATTTACAAAAGGATCACTGATCTTAATGAGATACAATTTGGGGTAGGGYTGAGGTGATCAGGGTTCATCCGGCTATTCCCCACTTTATCCAGGGCCCATCGCTGGGCTGTGCTTCCCAGTGCTGGAGTGGCCAGGTGGGCCAGGCAGCTATTCTGGCCATGGGCTACAGATGGAAGTAAAATGGAGACTTTGAGGCAGGATCATAACAATTTCAGTGCCTTCCTCCAACCTGTCCCCCTCCTCTGAAGACCACATGGGTTGAAGAAGGAACAAGCTGGAATCTGGAGCAGCTTCCTCAATTGCCTTCATGCTTCACTATGGTAAGTCACTGGGACTTGGGGATTGTTTTCAACTGAAGTTAGGTTACTCTGCTATGGCTGTGTATTCATTTTGGAAAAAAATAGGTAGTATGCCTATCTTATTCTGTTCATACACACACACACACACCAAAAAAAAAAAAATTCAAATAGATCAAAAACAAAACTACAAAAGCTTTCAAGTAGGGTTGAGGAAGTAGYTCAGTGGTAGGGCACTTGCTTGGCATAAGCAAGGCCCTGAATTCAATCCCCAGCACTACTTTAAAAAAAAGAAAAAAGAATTAGGGTAGTGTGTATATGGCAGTGGGGTTACATGTGTGGTTATAAACTTTTTTTTTTCTTGGTACTGGAGATACATCCTCAGTCCTTTTTATTCATTTTATTCATTTTATTCATTTTGAGACAGGATCTCACTAAGTTGTGATGCTATTCTTGAACTTGCAATCCATCTGCCTCAGCCTCCTGAGTCACTTGGATTACAGGCATGTATCAAGGTACCCAGCTAGTGTATGTGCAAATTATATTTAATATACACACCTTGAGTTAAGGAAGGTCTTTTTAAAAAGATGATGTTGTAAAACAACAAAAACTGGTAAAAACCAAGTAGTCCCAAAAGTAAAATTTCTRTACAACAAAGTTAAAAAGTAACATGTAATACACTAAAATACAAAGACTTAATATACAAAAATATTTTTTATTTTCTAAAAATCAGCAAAACTGTACTGGCAATGAAACAATCCAACAGAAAACAAATGATGAACAAAGGACATGAACAAGCTATTTACAAAAAAAAAAAAAAAAAAAAAAAAAAAACAGCAAAAGCTGAGAAACATGAAAACATGCTCAACCTTGATAAATAAGGAAATGCAAATTAAAATGAGAGATCATTTTTTACCCATCATACTGGCAAACATTTTTGTAACACTGGTAATTTTTGTAATCAAAGTAGTAATCAAGTACTTTATTTAAATGAACATAGCCATTTTGGAAAGTACTTTGGCAATATTTATTCATTATAAAGATTCATACCCTACAAACCTGTGTTATAAATATAAAATTATATTTATATTAAAAATGTGCCCAGGGCTGAAGCTGCAGCTCAGCAGTAGAGCACTCACCTAGCACATGTGAGGCCCTGGGTTCGATCCTCAGCATCATATAAAAGTAAATAAATAAAGGTATTGTGTCCAACTACAACTAAAAAATAAATATTTTTTTAAAATGTGCACAAAAAATGTGTGAGTGTGGGCTGGGGCTGTAGCTCCGTGGTAGAGTGCTTGACTAGCATGTATGAGGCACTGGGTTTGATCCACAGCACCATATATATATATATATATATATATATATATATAAATAAATAAAATAAAGTATTATGTCCATCTACAATTTAAAATATTTTTTTAAATATGTGAGTGTGACAACACACACAAAAAAATGTGTGAGTGTGTATGTTGTATGGTTGCACAGAAATGTCTTGAAGGTTCACGTGAAACTAAGGATAGAGGTTACTATAGACAAGGAGAGGTTTGGG